CCACAGTTTCAAGGGTCACTGTCGGTAGAACACTACGCCGTCATGGTTTCAAATCATGCATTGCACGGAAGGTTCCCCTGCTCAAGTCATCACATGTCCAGGCCCGTCTGAAGTTTGCCAATGACCATCTGGATGATCCAGAGGAGGCATGGGAGAAAGTCATGTAGTCAGATGAGACCAAAGTAGAACTTTTTGGTCTAAACTTTACTCGTCGTGTTTGGAGGAAAAAGGATGAGTTGCATCCCAAGAACACCATCCCTACTGTGAAGCATGGGGGTGGTAACATCATGCTTTGGGGTGCTTTTCTGCAAAGGGGACAGGACGACTGCACTGTATTAAGGAGAGGATGAATGGGGCCACTTATTGTGAGATTTTGAGCAACAACGTCCTTCCCTCAGTCAGAGCATTGAAGATGGGTCATGGCTGGGTCTTCCAACATGACAACGACTCGAAGCACACAGCCAGGATAACCAAGGAGTGGCTCCGTAAGAAGAATATCAAGGTTATGGAGTGGCCTAGCCAGTCTGCAGACCTAAATCCAATAGAACATCTTTGGAGGGAGCTGAAACTCTGTGTTGCTCACCGACAGCCCCGAAACCTGACAGATCTGAAAAGAGATCTGTGTAGAGGAGTGGGCCAAAATCCCTGTTGCAGCGTGTGCAAACCTGGTCAAGAACTACAGGTAACGTTTGACCTCTGTAATTGCAAACAAAGGCTTATGTACCAAATATTAACACTGATTTTCTCAGTTGTTCAAATACTTATGTTCAGCAGTGCAAGACAAATAAATTCTTTAAAAATCATACAATGTGATTTCCTGAATTTTTAAATTCTGTCTCTGAGTGGGAATGCACCTACAATGTGAATTTCAGACCCCTCCATCATTCCTTACTTATCCCCCAAGAGGCTATTTCCTGGATCACCTAGAAGTATTAGTATCCACTTTTATTATGTGCATTTAGAAATGAATCCAGGCTTTTCTTAAAACAATCTCCTGAGCTGGCCAGAACCAGCTCTTGAGGGAGTCTATTCCACTTTTTCACAGTGAAGAAGCCTTTTCCATATTTTTGGATTAAATTTATTTTCTTCCAGACGTAAAAAGTGCCTCCTTGTCCTTTGTGATGACTTAAAAGTTAATAACTCTACACCAAGTTCACTGTATTGATCACCTTTGTATTTATACATGTTGATCATATCCTCCCTTAATCTCCTCTTCTCAAGAGAGAATAAATTCAGTTCCTCTAATATTTCCTCACAGCTGAGCTCCTCCATGCCTCTGATCAGTTTGGTTGCCCTTTTCTGCACTTTCTCCAGTTCCCTTGTGCCCAAAACTGAACTGCATTTTCCAGGTGAGGTCTTACTAATAATTTGTACAGAGGTAAAATTATATTTCTCTCTCTGCAGTCCAAAGTCCATAGTGTCACCATAAGGATAGCTCACATGTGCGATGTTCTCTGATGAGCGATCTGTGTTTGGATCGCTATTCAGAGAGCATTTGACAAGCAGTAAGAAGGTGGTATATTGCCTCCTTACTGTTTGCTTTAACCCCTTGGACCCCACACAAACACCACCGTTCATATGAAGCAAAAGCATTGCAGCCACGGCATATTTACCTCCCCCCCCCTTCTTACTCCAGATGCTTCCTCTGCAGCTAAAGAGGGTAGTGTTTAAGGGGCAGTAAAACCAGACCAGTGCAGCCAGCAACAGTGTTCCTAATCGCCACCACACCAGTGTAGTTTTGCCTCTCCTTGACACCTGTACTGACCTTGGCCTGGTAATTGACCACATTTATGCCTGCTGCCTGGACCGATCCTTTGTTTGCTGACCAAGTCTCTGCCTGCTGCTCAAACTAACTCATCTGCACATCTGACTGATTACATTTTTTCTTCTTTACCTCAGCCTCTTGTACTTCTTGGCCAGTGAACATGGCATTCCTGGACACAGCCATGTACCAGTAGGCTAGGCTTGCTTGTTTTATAGGAACAGGGACTGCTATAGGTGATGCTACACTATGCTATATTCCCTGTCCACTTGGGCAGAGGCAACCATTACAGTTACATTGCTTTTGATACAATCAGTTGATGTGTGTGATACACAAGATACAATGTCCTGTACATAATCAGTGCAAGTAGTGAAAATCTCTTACATATGGTATTGCCATACTCCAGAGGAGTAGCAAAATGTGTTTTTGGGTTGTAATTCTAAGTATGCCCATGCTGTGTGTGAAAACATTTCTTATTAAATTGACACCTTTTGTGTAAAAATAAATATTTTTATTTTCTTTGCATTTTCTAAAACCTTGGGGCAAAGAAACAAAGTCTTCAGAAGACTCACAATGCCTCTTAAAATACCTTTTGAGGCAGGGCTTGACAAAATTGCTTTTAATCTAGGAGCCAGCTAAAAGTTAGGACCCAGGTTTTTTTTCTTTTAGCGTAACGTGGGTTGTCATCGCTCCGGGGCAAAGCAACTTTTGAGCGACAAGCTTCACACGATGCACTTTGCCGTGAGACAATCATGGCAAAACTGCACAACGTTTTAGGTGCGATTGAAAATAATGGCAACTGAACTTGCATTTTCCGATCACAGGTATTCTGCAGCAATCCCAGTGAGATTCTGGATGCATTTTCAAACTCTCAGATTCGCATGACAGGATAGATATTGCGTTTCTATCTGAGGTGTGTTTTCTTTCTGAGGTGGTTCACACAGATGCGATCCACACACATTGTGTTTTGAGGGCCATTATGAAAGGGGTCCTCTGCAAGTGTGCATTCCAGACTCGCAAATGGTAGAATAGAGTGGTATGCAGAGATAAGTGTTCACATAGGATTTCTGTTGACAGGAGTTTTTGCACTGCAGTCAGTGGGATGCGATTTTACATTGACATCAATAGGAGGCAGTGTGCGAATCCAGGTGCCAGGATGCAATTTCTAGTCGCCATGGCGACCTGACACTTGAGATTTGTCGAGCCCTGCCTTGAGGTGTTTACCCTCCAAAATGTGGTCATTTGTGAGTGTTTCCATTGTCCTGATGCTCCAAGGCCTTGATCTAAGCAGTCAGGAGGCTAGATGCGTAAAATATACATTATTTATGCTCCTTGAAAACCCAAGGTGCTCCTTGTATTTTTGGCCCCTCTATGCATCTAGGCTGTGAAATGTCTTTTATGTGGGTATATCCATACTCGAGAGGACTAGCAGAATGTGTTTTGAGGTGAAATTGTAAGTATGCCTGTGATGTGTGTGATAAATAGCTTGTTGAAATTACAGCTTTATTTCTTCATTTTCCAAAAAAAGTGACAAAATATTACAACTTCAAAAAACTCACAATGCCTCTTACTAAATACCTTGGACTGTCCACTTTCCAAATAGGGGTAATTCTGGGGGTATTTATACTATCCTGGCATTTTAGGGCCTCAAATGAAACAGGCAGTCAGTGTATCAGGACTGATCAGTTTTCAAAAATTATATACCATAATTTGTAAAATCTAGAATTTTCACGCTGACTGAATAAAATACACAGATTTTGGTTATTTTTTACCAAAGATGTGTAGCAGAATACATTTTGACCTACATTTATGAAGAAAAATTTATTTATTTGCAAACTTTTATAGCAAAAACTAATATTTTTTTTTTTTTCATTAAGTGTTCTTGCATGGCAAGACCACTTACTGTTATCTCACATGTATATTCCTATTATAGCCAAATTTACCACCCTAACTCCTCCCACAGTTTTTACACTACATAGACAGTAATATACCAAAACGTGCGGATTGTTCCTGATTGGTGTGCTATTACTTTGTAGAACGTTTCGTCAAATGGTTCACGAAATATCAGCGTTTTTGTGGTGAAATTGGTCCCATAGGAATGAATGGCGGAATGTTCAAAACTAGAGTGGGAGCTGACAAAAGCTAGAGTGTGAGCTGAAAAATCAGGACATGATTTCTAAACTGCCACCACTCCCTCATTTTCAAGCCCACCTACACAAATCTCACATCAAAACGTTCAGCTATCCCTGCTGCCACTAAAAACGGCTAAGCCATAGTCCTGATAGTTTTCACAATATGACCATTTGTTTGCAACTCATGCAGCCCATTGACATTCATTGAAACTCCACTATAGCCACCTCAAATTTGAAGGGCAATTTCTAAACTGCGACTGTGATTCAAGCCACCCCACCCAGTTACTCCACCCACTCCAGTTGTAGACTACTGGTGGAGGCAAGGACACTTCACACAATTTCCCCAGAAATTGTAGTTTTTCTAGTTTTATATAGCACCACCAAAAGAAAGTCCTGTCTGTCTCAAAAATTATATATATATTTTTTTTCAGTTGCAATCCTTTTAGTACAAAGTTTAAAAAAAATTAACAAGTTAACTGAATAGGTAATTAAACTCTTGTGGGAGGTGTGTCTGCAAATATTTGTTTTTTTTACTAGTATAAATATACTGCAGAGGCAGATGGTAATTTTTCACAGGTCTCTTAGAGCTATACATTGACCAACATTGGTACAAAGGCCACATACTCCTAAAATATATTCAGCAAGTCTACATAACTGTTTGTCTATATGGGACATGTATAATTTTACAAACCGTTTACTTTTAAGAATATCTTATGGAAATAGGAAGTTTAATATAAGATGGACACTGATACACTGTGCTTTATGGGTTTGCTAAAGCGTGCACAGCAGAAGCTGTTTTCTTTCAGACTCCCTTTTATTGTAACGCTATAGGGGTTTCTGAATGGATCAAGCTGAAATTGGAAGGAGGTAGATGAGTAACCAACCAATTTTAGTTGTGTGTGTAAGTTGTAGCTTCAGCTACTGAGCTATGTAAACCGTCTTTCAAGCAAAGCAGGTTAGGGTACATGACTTGGTAAATATTAGTTGTAGTTAATAACTGAAGTTTTATTATACCCCATTTCAAAAGTGACTGCATATGTATTTGTACATAATGAATATGGCTCAGATCTTGATTTATACAATGTAGTGAAACCTTTTCTTTCTAGGTTGTATATAATGTGGGTCTCTGCATCTGTCTCTTTGACATAACTAAGCTGGAAGACTCCTATATTTTCCCTGGCGATGGAGCTTCTCACACCAAAGGTTAGTTCTTAGAATGATAATGGTATGTTCTTGCACTTAAGAAACCTAAAATGAAACCCTATAGGATTCTTTTCTGTTGCATGAGATTTATTCCACTGTTCTGTGTCCATATCGGTGCTTGACAAATATGGTAGATATGGGAATGACAAATCCATCCAAGCTGATTTTCCAGAACCTGCGGGAAGGATTGAAATTTGCTTGCATGTGGTTGTGGTATGCAAACAGAAACCAGTCAAACAAAAATACTAGGCAACAGATACCACTTTTCTCTCAACTCCTGATGGGCTAGCAATATAGCCCTGTTTTTTTTAATTCCTTTTAGAGCACACCAGGGAGATGGGGAGTGAAACGAAGAACAAAACAAACAATCTACTACAGGTAATGTTTGACATTGTACACTGAGAGGGCTTAGGCCAAGTAAGTAAAGCAAGGTAAAATAAGGGGACACAAAATTCTATTTTTAACATGACCCTGCTCTATGTCTAATGACCGTGCGGAAACTAGTCTTCCTAGCTTCCTAGTTTCCTAGCTTTTAGTTTTGTAGGAATCACAGATCCAGAGATACCCAATCTCTCAAAACCTTGGTTTCTAAAGCCAGCAACCATGAAGCAGGATGGTAAGTCAGTCCTTCAGAAGATCAAATAATAAGGGAGAGGCCACAGAGTGCCTGACTGCTAGTAGTCTTACCAGGTCAGTGTATCTTATCTGCTTGGACTAGTTTGGAACAAGGAGGATCACTGGAATGCACTCCTGCAAATTGGGCAAGGAAGCTTGGGGGCATACATTAGGGTGTACTGATTCCACGGAACCACCGGAGTACGACTACTTCTATCTATATACCTATTAACAAACCTGTCCAGATTAATAACAAAAATGGAGTTAAAAAAGGTCCCCCCACGCAGTATTGTAAGATAATCTTAATATGCTCAATAAAATTCACTCGTTAACCACTTCAAGTCTGGACACTTTCACCCCCTTCCTGTCCAGGCCAATTTCCAGCTTTAAGTGCTATCACACTTTGAATGACAATTGCGCGGTCATGCAACACTGTACCCATATGAATTTTTTAGCATTTTTTTTTTTAAAACCGACAAAGCTTTATTTTGGTGGTATTTATTCACCACTGGGATTTTTATTTTTTTTGCTATGTTAATGAAAAAGTCCAAACATTTTGAAAAAAAAGTGTTTCTTATAACATTTTGCAAATAAATAGAATTCATCATAAATCTTGGCCAAAATGTATTCCGTTATCTTTTTAGTAAAAAAAAAAATAACCCAAATTAGTTTATAACCAAAAATTATACATTTTAAACTTTTTTTTTTTTTTTTTTTTTCTTTTTAAATTTTTCTTTTATTTTTTTATAATTATATATATATATATATATATATATATTATTTATTATTATTATATTATTATTATTATTATTATTATTATTATTATTATTTATTTATTTATTTATTTTTTTTTTTTTTTTTTTTACATACTGTCACCCTAGCAGTACAGTGTCACCATGGTGACAGTGTACTACTTGTTGGGGGTGATGAAGAATTTTTTTTTTTTTTTTTACTGATTTGCTTTTTTTTATACCCATAAAGGCTGGAAAAGCAATCATTTCTTCTTCTCTCTGGCTGCATTCTTGCAGCCATTGAGAACTACTGTTTGAGCTGTGATTGGTCACAGCTTGTCACATGGTACAAGGCTGTTGTGAATAGCTTTGTACCATATGACCTCTGTGATCATTCACAGATTTCACACGTCGTAAGCAATGATGTCAAAAGTGACAGCTTGCTTACTACTCTGCATGTGATTACTGATTGGCTAATCCGTGATCACATGATCAGGACCTCCCACAGAGGTCCCGTCTGATGATCGGTGTTTCACTGTGTCCAAGGGAGCGCGCACAAGCAGGGGTCGGGGAGACTGCACTGTAATACAAGATTGGAGCGAATTTTTTTTTCTCTTTCTATGTAACTATGGAGAGGAATATATATTATCATCCTGGCTACCATTCTTATCATGGGTGATTATTGGAGGAACCTCCCGGTGTTAACAACTTGGAGTCTGTATAAAGTGGAAAAAAGGCTGTGTTCTGATAACCCTGATTTCTGGAATTTATGCAATAAGACTCATTAAAGGCTATGTTCTGGTGAGTTCAAAATACTGACCATGCTTCTTATGAAATTCCTTGGGGTGTCTACTTTCCAAAAAGTGGTCATTTGTGGGGGTTTGGTGCTATCCTGGCATTTCAGGGCCTCCGAAACTGTGATAGGTAGTCAGGAAGTGTATTGAGGAAATAAAGCCCTTTAAAAGCCTGATGGTGCTTATTGGATTTTGTGGTCCTGTACTTGGCTAGACTGCCAAAATGTCTCTCACATGTGGTACCCCCATACTCAAAAGAAATAGCAGAATGTATTTTGGGGAGTAATTCCATATATACCCATGGCATGTGTGAGCAATAAATCATTTAAGTGACAATTTTGTGTAAAAAAAAAAAAAAAAAAAAAAATTTATTTTCCAAAAACTTGTGGTAAAAAAATAAATTCTTCTATTGATTCAACATGCCTCTCAGCAAATAGTTTGGGGTGTCTACTTTCCAAAAAGGGGTCGTTTTGGGGGTGGGGGCATTTTCTACCCGTCATAAGTTTATACCACACATCTTTTGAGACTATAGAGATGATTGGCACCATTCTGGTCTCCAATCAGCTCTATGGTCAGCTGGCAGAAACACCGGCTGCATTCTCAGGTTCCCCCAATGGCACGAGACTGCCTGAGAAGGCCGTGGAAGGCAGTGGGGAAGGGGGGCATCGTCTCCCGCTGCTTGTAAAAGCAATCCTGCAGCTAATTAGCCACTAGGATTGCTTTTACATGAAAGCCGATCGCCGGCTGAAAAAACAATACCAGTATGATGCCTGCAGCTGGAGGCATCATCCTGGTATAACCATTCAAAGTCCAGTGATGTACCAGTACGTCGCTGGTTCTTGTTGGGTATACAGTAATACCTCGGATTACGAATTTAATTCGTTCTGCAGGACATTTCGTATAGCGAAAAATTTGTAAACCGAAACGCCGTTTCCTATGGGAAACCAACTACTCCATTCCGAAGGTCAGAAACCGTAAACACTACTAAAATACCACATAAGTTATTTTTATTAACTCATGCGGTATTTTAGTAGTGACAACCATGTGTTAATTTTTCAGCTGTCACCGGGGTTCCCCACTGACAGCTGAATGTAAAAGAATTGCTGGCAATATGTCATTTTGCGCACCTGTGCCGCCCTGTAGCAGTATTTATGCTATAGGGCGGTCAGGAAGTGGTTACATAAGCGGTTGGTGTTATGGTGTTGCGTCAATTTAACTGACAATTGCGCAGTCATGCAACGCTGCACCGAAATGGAATTTACATCCTTTTTTCCCCCAAGAATTGTGCTTTCTTTCGGTGGTGATTGATCGCCTGTGTGTTTTTTCTTTTTTGTTTTTTTTTTTTGCGATATTAAAAAAAAAAAAAAAAAAAAAACCTACAATTTTGAGAAAAAAAACTATATTTTGGACTTTTTGCTATAAAACATGTCCAGTAAAAATACATTTTCATCATAAATTTAGGCCAAAATGTATTCTGCGACATGTCTTTGCTAAAAAAAAATCCCAATGCGTGTAAATTAATTGGTTTACGTGAAAGTTAGTGTTTAAAATGGCGGTATAGATACTAGGTTTTTTTTTCTGTATACTAATAATAGCGGCGATCAGCGACTTATGGTGGGACTGCGGCGGACATTCTGACACGGGGGGGAAACTGACTTGGGGTCACTGACATCCCCAGTGACACCAATACAGTGATCAGTGCAAATAAAAAGCACTGACACTGTAATAATGGCACTGGGGAGGAAGGGGTTAACATTTTTAGGCAATCAAAGGATTAACTGTAGGAGGGGAGTGTTTTACTCTTGGGGAAGGGGGGGGGGGGGTGCCTCACAGTTGCACACTGTCCCTGAAAGCTAAGCTCTGCTCTCTGGGACAGTGTGCTAGAAACTGACAGGGAGAAGAGCTGCATTGAAAACAATGCAGCTGTGCTCCATGTCAGTGTTTGCAGGCAATCGCCGGGATCTAGCGGGTAATCGCCAGCCGGGGCCCAGTGATTGACACTCGCGGCCGCAATCGGTGCTGCGGGCAGGGTGGTCGCGCGCCTCCTACCATGTAAACAGGATGACGTTTATAAACGTGATCCTGCCTTCAGGGGCTGCTTTGGCCCAGTAAATGTACTGTGGGCGGTCCCCTAGTGGTTAAAGAGCTGGAGATCTACCTGAACAACATTGGGAGAAGTCAAAGATCACTGGACACAGTGTTGCGCTTTTTGTAACCCCCAGTCCCTATCCCCTTTAGCTGCTGAGGCAGCAGCCAAAGGTGTACACATGCTGCAGCAGAAATTAAACCCCCTGTGGCTTTTGGTGGGTGCTACCGCCTGCCAATCATGACTGATTCAAGTAAATAGGGCCACTCTGCAAGTGCCCCATAACTGTATGCTTCGGCTGGGTCCAAGGAGCTGACGTAGGTGGTGAGAAAGCAACACAATGTTGTCTGCTTTAACCCCTTCTTTGCTGTATTGCACAAGGTTGCGGGGCACTTGCAGAGCGGCCTCATTCACTTGAATGGGTCATGCTTGGCAGGTGCTACACCCACCAACCATGACAGGGCATAGAACTCCTGCTGCAGGTGCAAAATGTATACACTGCTGGCAACTGCAGCTAAAGGAGGTGCGGTTGGGTCCTGGGTGGTAAAAACACATCTTAACTATGAGGTTTTACCACCCCCCAAACTGCAAATGTAAATGAGCCCTTACTGTTCTGAGCCCTCTATAAGCCTGCTGTGACACTGATGGGCTGAGATTTACCTGCACCTAAGGTGCAGTGCATCTGCGTTTTTCCTGGGTCAGCTGCGCTTTGCCATTGACTTGTGTTACATCTTTCTTTATGCTTTATCTATCTTTATTTTTTACAGTAGTCTTGGTGCACTTTCAGGAAGTGCACCAAACCCGCAGGATATAATAGAAGTCTATCGCTAAGCGCAGCAAACCCGCAGGATATAATAGAAACCCACAGGAAAGCTGCAGGTACACTGCACTGCACCCGCGGTGAGGGTAAACTGCAGAGCATCAGTGTGAAAGCAGCCCTACACTATTATGCCCAGTGTATTGCTTCACACTGACCTGAAGATCTCTCCTTTCCTGCTTCTCGCACCTAGAGCTGCTGGAGTGCAGTTGGTATCACTCCGCATGGGACAGGAGCCAGCACTACAGAGGAGACATCGTCTTATGCGGCTCTTGCTCCCTACTACAGATCCAACTTTACAAGTAGTCCCTCTGCATTGCATTCTGTATGATGCTCTAGGATGACGGGGCAGCAAGCCAAGACTGCGATCTACCAGTCACCTGGCCGAGATCTATGGTAGATCGCGATCTACTGGTTGCTGACCCCCGATGTAAAGTGTACCAATAGATTGAATTCAGCTTTAAATATAGAGAAATGTTTGCTTACTTCCTTGCATTGTATATAGTTTGCCTAAAGGGTATTTTTTCCTTAAAGCTGAATTTTTATTTTAATGCTCCTAAAAATTGGAGAAGCCAAAACCTTTTTCAATTAGTTTTGGATAGAGCAGGAAATAGTTAGGACCTTTGTTGGGTGTTTTATTGGTGGCTGTGTCCTTTTTGGGAAGTGATTGGAAATCTCTTCAATAGAGACTAAAAACATACCTAAAACACAATTTTTGTAGAGACAGAGTCCTGTGATGCCCGCACCCCATATTTCTTATACAGGTGTCAGAGGGGCATGAAATGAGAAAAAATGTCCTTAATCACAGTGACCTTCAGGGGGAAAAAAAACAGACAGATCTTACTCTAAGTCACTCTATGCAAAACAAATTAAAAAAAAAAAACAGTTTTGGTTGTAGTGGGGTTATAGATATTGCTTGTTGGTATTGACTGTAGATGAATGAAAATATTGTTCTTACGGTTTTTGTTTTTTTTTACTTCTATGCTCTGTGTTTTTGTCTTTTTGTTTCAGTTCATTTCCGATATGTTGTATTCCATCCTTTTCTTGATGAAATCCTGATGGGAAAGATCAAAGGCTGCAGCCCAGAAGGTGTACATGGTGAGTGAGAGAGCTCCAAAATATGTGATTTGATTATGATCAAATAGCAGTTTGGTTTTCTTGCTGCTGCCTTGCCTGGTGACTTTACAATACCTTATTATTTGATGTTATCATTTTTGTGGAACTAAACATTGCTGGACCACATCTGTGGGAACTTTGCCCAAAAACAAGCAGAGGGCAGAAACTTAGCCACCAGCATTGACTGTGGTCTTCTTGCCGCTGTTTTTTTTTCCCCTCAAAAGCTGACTTGTGCCTTTTTTCTGCACCATATCTATATGTGGAAGTGTTCATCTTGGTAGAGCTTTGTTTTCTCAAGTCAAAGCTACCCCATGATGACTGGAGAACCACAAACCGGTGGGGACACATTTAGGATGCAGCAAGAAGAGGTGTGGGTAAGCATAGAGTCACAGAATGAATGAAGCAGTAGAGTGTAGAGGGACATGCATGCCATGCAGGTCTTCAGATACATATATCGGCAAGCAGTAGTGATGTTGCCAAATCTCACTCAAAATTGTATAAGACCAATATGATTCTTTACACAAGTAGATTGTATTAGTGCTGCCAGTACTTTGCACAGTTTCCCACAGTACACACTACATGCAAATGCATTTATTGTAGTAAATATAAACTGCTAAATAACTTTTCTCATCAGCAGTATATAGCAGTCTTGTGACTTCTGTGTCCAACCGAGCTCTGGTTAAAGCTTGTAGGAGAAGTTTTACTCTCCTCTGACTGTCCTATGAGGCTGCATAACCCCTGACTCTCTGTCTGGACAGTGCTGATTGGCCCTGTACCAATTAACCCCCCCCCCCCCCCCCAAGAAAAACAACTCTAGCAATACACACTAAACTGAGCATGTGCAGAATGACCCCTGGAGCTCTGTACTCAGCAGATGGATTGGGGACAGTAGAAAAAGGGGAGGATCAGAGATGACAGGATCAAACAGCCTTTTTCAACAATGCAGAGGGTAAACTCCTTAGGTTCCACAGTGAGTATAACGAGCATGCTTTACTGCATATACAGACTGATTTTACTGTTGTGGGTTTAGTAACACTTTAAGAAAAGAGCCAGAACAGACCATCTCTGTACCCAGGAAATTCAATTACTGTACACAAAAAGCTGTGACTTGTCTCCTTGGATGTGGTGGCACCTGTCAAAAATCATTGTACACACACTATGCAGTCTGACACTACTTTTCAAATCTCACTCTCTGTTTTGCACATACACCCAGTCTATGCTATCATTGCATCAGTTGCAGAATAGCAGTACAGTGAACTGCTTATCTCTGCTTTCTTTTGTTATAAGCAAGCTTGTCAGAACATAACCTGAGTGGCTCCTTCTATTGCTTTTTTCTGTTTCACTTCAGCCCCGCTCTACAAGAACTTCAAGCAGCTGATACCAGGTCAGATTGTTATGGTGTCCGCTGGCAGGTGATATAGGCTATAACCAAAATCTTAATGACAGCTGATCTTTACCAGTTTGTTATGGTGGAGAAGAGTCACAAACCATAGTGGTCCTGGTTTGCAAGGTATGCAAGCTATCACTAGGTCATGACCCTTAGGATTGTCCCACCAAGAGTTAGCTGGAACTGAAGAGCTGTGGTGTGGAGCCTGTACACAAAATGGGCCAGCAAGGTGCTGTTACTGAAAACATCACAGCATACTGCTGCTGTATTTATCTAAATATCCCTCAGCCATGATGCGAGCATTAGATCGACTCTTGGTTCTTGACCACATATGATGCTTGGCCTCCTGGAATGAAAGAACTGAAATCCAGTTAATGAAAGGGGTGGGCCAAGGACAGTAAGGCTAGGGAGAAAAGGGCTAATTTAAAGCTAGAAGTATTTCTGACAGAAAATTTAGGTGGGTTGTTTCTGACTTTGGTACAGCTTCTACAGTACTGCGAAAAGCTCAGGGTGTGCAGTGAAATCGGAGTAAGCTTTTTCAGTACAGGAGAGTAGCCTGTACAACTGCACAAGTGAAGGTAAGGTTGGAGTTCAATGTGGAGCCTATCCATTTTAAAAGGGTTTGCACCATAATTCAATGCATTAAAATGTACCTGCTACTACTAGTCATGATTTCTGAAGTGTTGTTTTCCTAATTCATATATGTACAATAGAAAATGTAAACATTTTGTACTTTTTTACCAATCATTCAACAAAAAGAAAAAAACGAGTAAAAATCCTTGCATCTGAACCTTTTTTATTTCAAAGCAACACGGCAGATTGGGTGCCATCCAAAACACACTGCCATTCTAGTGTTGAAATAATGCCACAGATATGGTTATGGTTCATGTCAGTCCTGTCCTGGTACAATCTAACTTTTATTATGACAGAGAAAAAAAGTCTTCTTTATTTAATATGTTAGTTATACTTTATATAATAGGCAAGTGGCAGATTATATATTACAATATATACTCGAAGATTTGTACGCTGTTAAAGGCTTGTTCTTCAACAAAACACTTCTGGAAATAATGAGCATACTATTTCATGTAACTGGCAACTTACTGTAAACATCCTGTCCCAGGGGAAACCAGCTTTTGTTGCTGTGAAATGATGTGTCATTTAACAAGACACTTGCATTATTTTGTCTGCGAGATATTCCAGAGCAGGCAGGATATTAACTCGCTGTTCTCCTTTGTAGTTTCTCTGGGATTTTTCGATGATATCGTTATACCTCCGGAGTCCTTGCAGCAGCCAGCTAAATTGTATCCTTTACATAAAATTTGTATGAATGTATAAGTGCATTGCTTAAAGGATAACTTTAGTTAGCACTAAGTGTGTATGTTTGAGACTGTGGGTGATTCTGTGTCACCCCCAAGGCCTGTGATTAGGCATTTGACAGAACCCCATCTCAAGTTCTACCTTGTCCACAATCTTTCACTGTATGTAAATGTAGTATTCAGGCAATATTTTTACCATAAAAGTAATACTTTTTTTATGCAGAAGGCTGATGATGAGCAGCAGTATATGTTGGAGAAGGGCATGACTGGGTCAAAATAATATCTGACTACAGTGTTTATCTAGAATTTCTCTAGGATTATTTCTTAAAGGCAATGTTGTGGAAAAGAACAAATACTAAAGTATCTATAAATGGTTTGCAGTTATGTACATGGGGCAAAATATTTTCTTATTAAATGGTTAGCTGTGCTTACTGCTTTGCAGTACTACACATTTATTGAGCATTACAACTCCTTCTCACAATGCAAGTCTATAATTTAGCCAACCCATTGGAAACTGTGTGCTTCCTGGATGGCAGATATCTTACCAGTTGATAAAAAAAAAAAAAAAAAGTAATTTATACTGGCAAATATACAAATCTCTGTGTTTATTACAACACAAATATTGAAGAGCAATGTGAAAAATGTAGTCACATCTACAATTTTTAAAAGGTGGCAATTCTAATAGCTCAAAATATGTGCTCACTGAAAATACAATATACTTATAGTGGTTTCTAAAGTATAAGGTTTGCAGAAAATACATTAAGGTAAAAAACCTTCCATGATCAGCTCTCTAACCTCCCCCCCCCCCCCCCCATCCACCACCACCAAAAACACCGGAGTCCTATCTTGATCCATCGCTTTGCTCGAGAGGACTCGGAAGTAGGTTGGCTCCTGCTGCTGTCAATCAAATCCTGTGAGGAGGGAGTGGGGGACAGAGCCCAGCCGGGCTGTGTGTGTGTCTACAGATGCAGCCTTACTCGTGGTCAATCCCACATGAGCAGCTTGCTATGGAGATACTTGGAAGAAAGGAGGGGGGCCTTGAGCACTGGCACAGGACTCCAGAAGAGGAGGAAAGGGGCCCGCTCTGTGCATTACCACTGCACAGAGCAGGTCATAGTTTCAGTATCCTTTCCACTGAGGTATTGGGCACTTTTTTTTGCGTTGTGTGTGTATCTATCTATCTATCTATCTCTATCTGTGTATCTATATCTAGCTATATATCTAGCTGTGTGTGTGTGTGTGTGTGTGTGTGTGTGTGTGTGTATGTGTTATATATATATATATATATATATATATATATATATATATATATATATATATATATATATATATGTGTATATAGTTGTGTTCAAAATAATAGCAGTCAGACATCACTAACCTGATCAATCACTGTTTTTGGTAGAAATTATATTTCTACATGGCAAATAATTTACTAGCAGGTGTAGTAGAGTAATAGAAATCCAACAGTCATGACATGCATGCTGCTGATTCTGTGTAAGTGAATCACTAATTGAAAGGGAAATGTTCAAAATAGCAGTGTGGAGTTCTATTAGTGAGGTCATTCATTCTTTGAAAAACAGGTGGCAATTATTGCCCTTATTGAAGGAAGGCAGCAAATGTTGTACATGCTGGTTACAGTGCATTTCTCTCTGAAATTCTGAGGAAAATGGCTTGTTCCGGACATTGTTCAGAAGAACAGCGTACCTTGATTAAAAAGTTGATTGGAGAGGGGAAAACATATAAAGAAGTGCAGAAAATGATAGGCTGCTCAGCTAAAATGATTGCAAATGCTTTAAAATGGCAACCACAACCTGAAAGACGTGGAAGAAAGCGAAAAACTACCATTCGAATGGATAGAAGAATAGCCAAAATGGCAAGGACTCAGCCAACAATCCGCTCCAGGAAGATCAAAGAAGGTCTAAAGTTACCCGTGAGTACTGTTACAATTAGAAGATGCCTATGTGAAGCCAAGCTATCTGCAAGAAGCCCCCCTGTTGAAAAACAGACATGTGCTGAAGAGGTTACAATTTGCCGAAGAGCACATTGACTGGCCTAAAGAGAAATGGCGCAACATTTTGTGGACTGATGAAAGTAAGATTGTTCTTTTTGGTGTAGTGGCCGGAGACAGTTTGTCAGACGACCCTCAAACACTAAATTCAAGCCACAGTACACTGTGAAGACAGCGAAGCATGGTTGCGCAAGCATCATGATATGGGGATGTTTCTCATACTACGGTGTTGGGCCTATTTATCGCATACCAGGGATCATGGATCAGTTTGGATACATCAGAATACTTGAAGAGGTCATGCTGCCTTATGCTGAAGAGGAAATGCCTTTGAAATGGGTGTTCCAATAAGACAACGACCCCAAACACACCAGTAAACGTGCAACATCTTGTTCCAGACCAACAAGATTGACGTTATGGAGTGGCCAGCCCAATCCCCGGATCTTAATCCAATAGAAAACTTGTGGGGTGACATCAAAAATGCAGTTTCTGAGGCAAAACCAAGAAATAGAGAAGAACTGTGGAATGTAGTCCAATTCATCCTGGGCTGGAATACCTGTTCACAGGTGCCAGAAGCTGGTTGACTCCATGCGACACAGATGTACAGCAGTTCTCAGAAACAGTGGTTATACAACTAAATATTAATTAAGTGATTCAAAGGAAAGCAAAATCTTCAAACATTTTTCAGTTTATATAGTGAATGTTTGAGTTTGTAAAGAAGAATACACACACTGCTGTTTTTTTGAACAGTCTAATAATCACTTTTCTTCAATTTTTTTTAGAGGAACAAGACAAATTTGATATCATTTTCTTCATGTTTCGATTTGGAATAGAATGTGTAGTGTTCCCAATTCATTTGTGTGTATGGAAATAAAAGCTATTTGAAGGATTTTGAGCTGTATTCACTTTTTTCAACACACTGCTATTATTTTGAACACAACTATGTATGTGTGTATATATATATATATATATATATATATATATATATATATATATATATATATATATATGTATATGTGTGTGTGTGTGTATGTATGTACATATATATATATGTATGTATGTATGTGTGTATATGTACACACACACACACACGCACTATTCTTTTTCTTCAGTGATTGACACATCGTCTTCTATTCTTGACTATAGGAGTATATCGCCACCTATAGGAGTAGGAAACTATCCAGAAAAAAAAACTCGACACCGCCTATAGGCAGTCCTGGCTGATATAAACCCTTCTCTTCATAGGCATTCCAATTCTTTCTGCCTAGTGTCAGGATGAATGCTGCTGGGACCTGTGGTTCCATAGCATTTATTTATTTTTTTTTTTTTCCTGGGTTTTTACCTGAGGAGATCTTCTGTCAACAGCCGGGTTGGGCGGCAAGCTGGATAATATAAATCCAGTGGTCATCCCAGTCTGGCCAATGATTGTACACAGACTGCTAGCTCTGTGCTCGGTCGGCTGCGACATGCCCCATCCTGGACGGGGGCGGCCAGTGAGTTAAACACCGCAGTCCATAATCTGTGTTTCCTTTGTTGACAGCCACCCCCCCCCCCCCACTTCCTTGGTGAGATGGATCTGTCTCGGGAGTGTTATCCGCAACGATGCCTCCCTCCCATCTTTGGGCATGCATGAGGTGCTCAGTCCCTATGGGGTTCTACCCCCCTTTTCCCCTCACCCCTTGAATTTGTGGGTTGGATACTCTGTTCCCTTAGTCCCCCCAGGCCCCACATGACATGGGGTGTTGGTGCTGGGCCACCAGGCTGTATGTGCCTGTGTGCGGTTTCCCCTTACCGTGGGCTGTGTCTGTAACCCCCAGAGGTACACTACTATGTGGCTCCTTCCTCCTTGGGCTGCTGTGGACTCCCGGGGTCTGTGAGGACCAAGTAGTGCGGCTATTGTTCATGCCCTCTTTTTGGATGGCCTTTGTTTGCTAGATGGTGGGGGGATGGGGATGCTCCTGGCTCCCTGCCTTGTCTGGTACTGTCTTTTTGAGCCCTACAGGGGGGGGGGGGGCGCTCACTACCTGGTTGGGCTCCCAGTCAATTTAAGCTGTGGTTTTGCAGCCTCCTGGACCATGGAGATGCCATTTTGCTTGTGGATGTTACCCTTTCTGCATCCTGATCTCGTGGGTGAGCGGGCACCGTCCTCCAGCTGAGCTCATCCCCAGATGCTGCCCCATCCTTTCCAAGCTCTTCATCTCAGCAGTAGGCCTTCTTGGGTGCCTTGGCTCATATGCTGGTTTTCTGGCATGACTTCTAAAAGGGCTTGGTGGATATACCCTTCCGGGGAAAATGTCTTGGATGGCTTCATCAAGGCCCTTATGGGAGGCATGAGTTGTTTCTTCCCACAGGCCAAGAGGGAAAAGGAACCACATTGGTAATTCCGGCCCTCCCTTCCTGCCCATAAGGGGCCCCTTCGTTCACTTGGCTTCTCTTACAAGGACTCCATTCCTTTCCTGGCCTCCACAGGTGGTGCCTAGTTCTCCTGAACCCAAGGTCCACCAAGCTCGCTGACGGTCTTCCTTTCAGCCCAGACAAGTGGGTTCGAAATCTTGTAGTTTGGCTATGAACTGTTATTTTGTTAATTATCCACTGGAGAAATTCTTACTCTCACTCTTTTTTTCCCATCCTTGAGTGTTCAGGCCTGAATGGGCCCTGCGTCCTGAGTGTTGGTTTTTGTGCCTGGAACGGAACAGTTTGGGGTTTTCACTCAAACTCGTTCATGGTTCCGCTGGCCCCAGTGGATGCCTACCTGTATGTTACAATCTGAGAGAGACATCAGTTGTCTATGCACTTGGTAGTGGGGGGCGCACTATTTCTATTTGGGGCGTTTGTTCTTCGTGGGCAACACTGTGGCTAGCACTTCCGCCTAGCAGCACTAGGGTTGTCTGTTTTGAATCTCACCCATGACATTCCTGCCTGGAGTTTGCATTTTCTCCTTGGGACTGTGTGAGGTTCCTCCCACACTCCAAAGTAGCCT